CTGGCCCAAGGATAACTTGTAGTTTTGACATTTCTAATGAGAACCTCTCAAAATGACTACAAATCACAAAAGATACTACTGAATGGTATCATTAACTACAGTAGTATAGTTCAAACAATCTGATTGTTCCTGAAAATATGTTATTTGCTTCTGACTGCATTAATCCAGACTAAATTTCCCTAGAAATATCGTCTGCCTACCTAACTGCCTGGTTCCTAGTAATGGTCAACCAGGATTGGCGTCAATTTCATCTACTTCAATTATATATTAACTGTTAGGGATAACCAAACTCATGGCTTCAGTGTAATTAGTGTCGTACTTCAAAAAAGACTTGAATACTAAATATCAAATATCAAGAGACACCGCCTTTATCGCCTAGCAACTGATTCATTCAATCAACAATATAATAACAACAAGTCTACACTTTCAAAATCAGTTTTATCAACTAATAAATTTCAGCATATGACAATAGAAAGAGAAATTATACACCTGTGAGGGGAAAACAAAGAGGCAACTTAAATTTTGGACAAGAAAAATTTGAGTAAAAATGTATTGAACATTGATCAATATACCGCTTTCTGTTAAAGAGACACTTACTTTCAGCATTGTAAATAGTTTGAGTATATTTATGAAAAGTAACCATTACAAAGTATGTTGTAATTTGCTTGGTAGTTTGTAATGGAATTCATGACGTGCATTTCGTCCTGTTTTTGACTCATTAGCTAGATTTACCTACACTACAGTGAGCGATGTCTGTCCCGCTGAAACTCTAACCCGGTACTCATCGCTGTAAATGCCAAACTGTTATCCACTAGGCGTCTAAAGTTGTGTTTACCGGGTTTGAGTCTCAGCGCGGGAGCAACATCACTTACTGGAAAGTAGGTACATCTAGCTGACTAGTCCCAAATGGGAAGAAACGCGTAACCTGGGTTCCACTGATAGATATCGAGCAAACAGCAGCTTAGAGCTGATTTTAATGGATTTTTCTTCTATTTTCTCTGTCAGGGTAAATTCACTTTGGATTCTGTATACCTAATCAATTCTTGCATGGTTACTTTCTGAGTTTTATGCTTGAATTCTTCTGGTTCCTCATCTATAGCACTGAAAGCCCATTAAAGGACGGATATCATGTACTGAAGTTTGTTTTCTCCTGTTATACGACTATGAGATATGGCCGTTAAAAATAGAAAATATGAAGTAGTTACAAGTTTTGATCACAGGTGTCTTTGTAGCATTACTCAGGTTTTGATGAAGAGTTCTAGATAAAAAAGGCCAGTCAGTCAGATTATGAACCTTCATCAACAGAGGTGATTTGGAAATTTGCTGCACGTGTTGAGCCATCGCCTACCTCGACGTTTGGAAGAGGGTTTAAGGTGTCCAGATTGAAAAATAGCAACAGTCCATGAACTTGGTAGTGTAGTGGATAACGCTCTAGCGTTTGAAGCGATCGCTCCGGGGTCCGAGTCCCGGTGGGAACAACATCACTCACTGGGAGGCAGGTACATCCAGCTGACGAGTCCCAACTAGGACAAAATGTACACCCTGGATTCCACTGCTAGCCACTGTCCATCATTACTATACATAATTAAACACAGGCAATATTGAGGCATCCGCATAGGAGCCCATATGCCAACACACTGATCAATTCGGTTCAATCAACGATGGTGTCATACAAGCAATAACACTAAGTCCATGAACTCCCTAACTGTTGATCTAAGCCGTGTAGGAAGATGTAGACTACTTGTTTGGGGTCCCGGAGACCATAGGTTGTTGAGGACTCCTGGTAAAACGGCTGAAAGTTGGCTGCAATGGCACAGATGCATTCACTCTTCGATTTCATTTATAACTTGGATTTTTTGATTAGCCTTAGTTTTTAAATCCCTTGTTCTCGTATGAACACCTTTGTCTACTTGGATATGAGTCTTTTCCCATCCAATTGTTCCTTATACACTGCTGTGAAGTATGCCAACTTGAACTGACATACTTATGTGTTAGGTTCTATGTTAGTTTTGCCTACCTGCCTGCCTGCCTGGTTCTTAATATTGAGCATACGAGAGGAGTTGAAGAATAATTTTCCAGTTTCTAGGGCGGTAGATATTCTTATACTGATCTCTTGTGATTTTAAGGGTAATCATTGTTTCCCACTGAAACTTATCTTGTTCAGAGTTATTCTCTGAGCTACTGTTCTAGCTGGCAAAACGTTCCAATATTATGCTAGACATCTTCATTAGTGCACTAGAGCTCCACTTCCTCTTGAAGTATAGCATGTAATGTCTCACAGGTTTACTCACTGTACAATATTTTCAAATGGAATAGTTTCATAATGGAAGTGATCTGAACACCAACATCATAAATGAAATTGTAATAGCGACCCGGTGTTGTCGAATTATCATCTGATCTGTGTATAAGTTATGTTCTGGAGGTAAATAGAAAGGTGCACATAAGTTCGACGGCGGAAGTCTACTGAATGGGCGAACTAATCTATAGTTTGTTCTAACCATTTCAGGAATAGTTACGTGGTGTCTTGTTGTGAGTTTTAAAGTTCACTATCATCTACTGTGGTGTTTCCATACAATCTTATTGAAATAGTGGAGAATATTTATTGCTCAGGTGGATAGTCTTGGTTATATTGTTTTCTCTGAGCTGGCTGGGTTGTTTAATCTAGAAGCTTTCATCGTCCTTCTCTAGACGACATCATCACCACTAACTTCAGTATGAAGTGAGCTGTCAATATCTCTCCATGACTGATATAGTAGCTTGCCTTGACGAGGCGGTCTGTGATTGGTTGTTTCCTTCGATTATTGTATCATTGACTATATAGATCTTCCTGTTGGCTGAGCCCCTGCTTGACCTCTGAGCTTTCTACCGTTTATCATTTTTCTCATTGTTTGATAGATTGGGTCTATGTCTATACACCTGCTGATTGCTGACTGACTGACCTGAATGCCAAGCTTCCAGGAGTTCTCTGACATTTTTTGTGTTTCCTCTGTCCAAAATTTCTACATTGTCAAAATTGAATTCATGTCCATAATTATCCTAGATGCTTGGCATTCAGGTCAGTCAGTCAGCAATCAACAGATGTATAGACATAGACCCAATCTATCAAACAATGAGAAAAATGATAAACGACAGAAAGGTCAGAGGTGAAGTAGAGGGTCAGCCAACAGGAAAATCTATATAGTCAATGATACAACAATCGAAGGAAACAACCAATCACAGACTGCTTCGTCAAGGCAAGCTACTATATCAGTCATGGAGAGATATTGATAGCTCACTTCATACTGAAGTTAGTGGTGATGATGTCGTCTAGAGAAAGACGATGCAAGCTTCACGATTAAACAACCCAGCCAGCTCAGAGAACACAATACAACCAATACAATCTTATTGTTAGTTTGCATAAGTGTAGGTTGGAAATACCCTAAAATGCGTGGGGGTAGATGATATGATTTGAAGACATAGTTAATTGATTAAAACAACTTCAGAAGGAGCAAGTGGTAAAAGACATCTGTTTCATTCTCTTCGAAATCCTACATCATCTTGACTGCATATGCAGCCAGAATTTTCACACCTAGTGAAGAATACACTTATGGTTAGGTGACTAGTTCAGAATCCATCAAATAGCGCTTTCTTTTGGTTGAAATTATCCTCAAATATCACTCTTCTACATCCATACCGACTTCAGACTTCGTTTAATCGATGAATTGTAGTTTTGGATATTTTTCCACCTACAAAACTCTGGGAAGTCAGTTAGTATCATTAGCCGTTGTCTTCGTAGCATTGGCCGTCAGTCATGGTGTCACCACGTGAGTAACACAGAAGTCAGACATAGAGTTTTAGACAGGGTAGGCAAGTCAGTTGACACGGTCGTGAACCTTCATCAACTGAGATAGCTGGCTGGAACATATATTACGTATACCTAGCCGCCGTCTGCCTCGGGGCGACCAGACTAAAACATGGTATCAGTGCATGAAGTCCTTGACTACTGGTTTGAGCCATGTAGGGTGATGTGGACTAGACGTTTGGGGTTCACAGGACAAGAGGAACCAGTGGTTGGAGACTCTAGGTGGTATGGCTGCGAATCGATGCCAGTGGCGTAGATGTATTCACATATTATCCTCATCTTGACCGCCATACTTAATCTCATTACCTTCTTATTCTTCCTTCCTCTCTTCTACTACTTACCACTTATACCTATTTGACCGGTTTTTCTTTCTTTCTTCATCTTTCATTTTATTACCTTGTCACTTGATGTGGTCAAATGAGGTGTGGCTGGCAGCTTGGACCTTTACGCAGTACTACCTGATCCTGTGTTGATCTTGATGATAATGATGACGACTAGCCCTCACACAGCATGTGCGGCTTATAACCAACCGACTGCCTGTACGTGCACAAGGCTACTTACTACATTTCCACGTATATCAATAAACAAGAAACTTTGATATACTCCAGGCTTTACATTGACTTATGTCTATCTTCTTGATGTACGCTTTTTTATATTTAAACATCCAACATCCTGTTCACTGCTACCATAGTATTATTCAGTTTACCTTGATATTTGTACCATGATCTCATGTTAGAAGTGTCAGGTACTGCTAATCACCTGGTATTCAATTTTTTCACGAATTATTATTATTATTATTAGTCCCTTGGGTTCCTAGTGGAACATAGGGCTTCAGTAGCACGCCTCCAGTGACCTCTGTTCTCTGAGATCTTTTGAACCTGGTCCCACGACAGCCCACAAGCTCTCATTTCCTCCTCGCATGACCTCCTCCATGTCACCCTCGGACGTCCAACTCGTCGCTTCCCATGGGGATTCCACTCAAGGGCCTGACGCGTGATGTCCTCAGTCGGCCTTCTCAGTGCATGGCCAATCCATCTCCTTTTTCACGAATACATTTTTCAAAATGTTAAAATGTCTTAAGCATCCTACTTTATTACTATGGATTTTATGTGGACAAGAATTATTCCTTATATTTCCTTATTGATCTTATTTTCAACAGTTTATTCTCGAAAACGACGTGATGCTTTAGAGCAAATTGATGCTAATAATGAAACAAACAATGAGAAGTATTCAACAGAAGAAGATAATCAATCTACATTATATGATGAGAATATACAATCATCATTTCCAAAGATCCCTGTTATACAATTTCGACGTTTACAGAAAGAGGTAAGTAGATGATGAATCAAATTTATTGTAATTTGTATGAGTTTAGTGTTGTCTGTTATTACTATTCAGTGAAATCATAGAGATCAACTACTTTTGACGTTAATCTCTGAGGCACAAAAGGCAGATACTGTATAACAAGAAAATAATGGATAACACTGTAACATATCAAGTGTTAGACAGTAAGTAGGTTGTACTGTATCCAGCTACAAGTGTATTTTATGATATCTTTATGTGATATTAAAAAACATCTGTAAACACTAGGAACGATTGTGAGACTAGTCGATTATTATTATTTGTCCCTTGGGTTCCTAGTGGAATATAGGGCATTTCACTCTCTTCTTCCCGCTCTTTGCAACCCGGCTCCACCACGACCTACAAACTTTCAATTCTTCCTCACACCATCTCCTCCATGTCACCCCTCGCCTCCAACACCAAACTTGTTCTTTCTCATGCGGGTTCCACTCAACGGCCTGGTCTGGCCTGCAGCGTGATGTACCCAATCGGTCTTCTCAATGTATGCCTAGTCCATATCCACTCTCTTCTTCTACATATTTGTTGGGTGGTTCCTTCTCGGTTGGTTCGTCCCCAGAGTTCCTTCTTGCTTATTCTTATTATTCTGGCCATTTGATCTTCGATATCGAGCGATCGTAGGCAGCAGCCGTTCATGTCATGTATGTCTGTAGTTTGTTGCAAATGCTTTCGTAACACGTCAAGTCTGTCAACCATCACATTGAAGTAGTGACTTACTTGACTGGATTAGTGTTGAGAATCCGGATGTTGTTCACGCTTTATGCTGAGTGTATTGCGGTGCAGCTCAATGAAGTGCAGTGCAGTAGATCTGCACACTGATGATTTCAGATAAATGTAGGAAGGCCTGTCTTGCAGTGTTCCCGGTCCTTGCCTTGACGTCCTCATCTGTGTCCCCTGTAATTGAGAGGAATAACCCTGCTAAGATCAATAATTTTGAGGTAAAAATCAGCTACTGCATTGCATACAATGACACTCGATCAAACAATATAGTGTGCCGACTGTATTAAAGTTCAGTATAGCTGGGTGGTGAGAGAGATTGATTACTGAATCTTTACTCATCGAATCAACACCCAACACGTGTAATGGGAATGATGCAATACTTGCTCTAGACACTCAGGAGATCCAATTTCCTTTGAAAACAAGGAATACAGTTTGATATGATTTTGAAAACCAGATGTTACAAGTCGTGATTGCTTTCATATGATTAAGACTGGTGTTACTGATACTGGGTTGTGATTGAAGGTGAAACAGAAACCTAGCTTGCAAGAGGATTGGAACCATCGGCTTAACCTGTTGGAAATAATCGGCAGGAAATCGTCAACCAAGAGTTTATGTTTATTGGCACCCACTGCCAGTGCGTATCTGTAAAATAAAGAGAATCAATGTCCCCCACCCCCACAATTCGACCCATTATCATCGAGTGTTACAGTCAGGCTGAAATTAACCTCTTACAAAACTGCATGGCATACCTAATTAAAGCAACAAATGAAAAATAGTGGAGTTATGAAAAAAACTGGATTATAGGCAATGAATTATGCTCAAAGCGTCATCTAGACTTTTTACAGATCAGCTCCGACTGCTTGAAATCAGTCAGAGTGGTGGGTCGTCTTCTTTGTTGATTACAGCGAGAAACTATCGACAGAATTTGACCACCATTTGGGATCAGACAACCTGGAACTGGTAACTCTGTACCGAACAACCAGAAAAAGTTATCGCTTCGTTTGTAGTGAAGAGTTCACAGCATATAATATGAAATCTCGATTGAAAATGTTGACAAGCTTAACAATGAAATGAATAAAAATATTTTTATGGTAATAGTTACACTGGGCGATGACTGAAGGTGAGATGAAAATTTGAACTGGGGCCCGGACTCGGACCACCAACTACCAGGTTTCTGGCGCCATGCTCTACCAATTGAGCTCCAATGGTCCCACCACGGCTGTATCACATAGTCAAAGTGATAATCAATATGATGCTCCCACTCTCTGATTCACTTACATTTCGATTGGGATGAGAAGTCCTGACTAGGCGATCGGTGTGAATACGACCAAGCGGTAGCAAGGCGTCACGAATTCACATGGTAGTCTGGCAAAACCCCGCCTTGTGATTGAAGTGAAGTAGAAATCTGGTCATTAGTCGGACCCCGTAGTTCAGTTGGTAGAGCTTCGGGCAGAAACCCGGTGGCCGCTGGTTTGAATCTGGCCTCGGTTCAAGTCCTCATTTCATCATCAGTATTAGTCTACCAAACTACGGCTGCTATCTCAGATAGTCAAAATGATAAGCAATATTTATCACAATGAGAGGTGAATATAAAAGAACAAAATAAAAAGAAGTGTAGAGAATTTCGTTAAGCAAGTTTTTAATCAGCTGGTCAGTTAACTAAACAATAAGAACCCCTTAGACTAAACACTCATGAGAATATAAGAAAAGAAGAGTGTAAAACAGGATGTAGCACTTGAGTCTTCACTGCATAATTAAGTGTCCTACCGTGGGAAAGTTGAGTGGTTGTAATTCAAATAATGAATGAATAAAGTCTTAGACTGAGGAAGTAACAGCTGTATCTCTACAAGTCTCTACAAGCTGCGAAGTCTAACAGGATAGCCTGGCTTATGAAATTTAATAGTACCATAAACCTTACTGGAATTCCAAGTTGTTATTCATCGTAGACAGACATCAGTTGGAGGAACAAAGGAAACCTGGGAGCACTGACAGCTGTTTCGTCCCACTTGCATGGGACTCCTCACCAGTGCGCACCCATGACCCCGCACCATCAGAGATCGAACCCGCGACCTTCAGGTCCCACGGCCAGCGCATTATCATTGAGCTAGCCACTGGGTAAGAATCCAACGCTGCACATTTCCAACTTCTGTTAGTTCACGATATAGCTCAACCACTACCCAATGTCATCACTGAGTAACTGTCCTCACGACCATCAGGCTTTGACTCCACTGGCATTAAATTAAACCATTTTGATTCACCTAGAAATGGCTTCATTATGCGTATTAGATCCACCATGGCTTTTAAAAAAACTTTATTCATAATGGTGTCCACTAGTTTCTTATTCTCTTCGTAAGGTCCTGTTTCTGTGTATTGCTTAACTTTCTGAATATAATCAGACTTGTTTAACACTACTGTTGAGTTGCCTTTATCCAATTTAGCAATTACTATATTGTTGTCATTTCGAAGATCCTTTAAAGCTTCTTTTCCTGCTTTTGGTAAATTTTGTTTTGTCTTCTTCTGTCGCCTAAGTGTTAGAGCACATTGAGCTCAGTAACTCATACATTGAAGTGTCTTCTTCAGTACCTCTACTTCTGTTGAGCTTAAAACTCTAGTTAAGAGACTGACAACCTACTTTATTTTCTCGATGACTAGTGATCTGCTATCGGGAGTTTCATTGTTTCTTACTGAATACTTATCTTCCATTGGCTTGGTGAACTTATTTATTCAAGTGTAATGGCGTATGGGGAGGTAATGACAATCACTGGTATCCTCCTAGGATGACCCATATTGCCATTCTACTTACGTTTGTTATATATGCGATAATATGTATAACCCTAGGTACTTTCGACTTCATAGGGATTGGCTTACCCCTTAGATGGCACCTGACTAACTTGGAGTATTAGAAGCTGTGGTTCTCTTAGTTGCAGACAGCGACAAAATGCAGAGTGCCCTAAACTACTTGGGCGAGAAATCTGAGCAGTTTTAGCGTACGTTTCGCACTTATCAACTATGAGATGATGCTTCACCACTGGTCGAGACCAACTCCTAAGTTAAGTAGCTGATCATTTTTCTCATTGATTGATAGATTGGGTCTATGTCTATATGTCTACCGATCACTGACTGACTGACCTGAATGTCAAGCTTGTAGGAATACTCTGATATTTTTTGTGCTTCCTCTTTCCAGTATTTCTATATTATCAAAACTGAATTCATATCCATAGTTGTGATCCATGTGCATTGAAATGAATGATGAAATGTCTTATGTGACGTGTAATAGCCAATTAGTGTTCATGTAGACGAAGGCGAAGTGGGCGACCACTTTGTCCAATATAGTATTGACTACAGTTATTGCAGTTGATTTTATAAATGGTATTTAGTTTGTCTTCTCTGACTGTTGTTGGATCCTTTTGTCTGCATAATAATGTTTGCAGGGAATTTGTTGGTTTATGAGCCACACCAATTCCATGTGGTCTCAGTAATCTTGTTATGATTTCTGATATATTCTTGATGTACGGTTGGGTGATGCATTTATTAATTTCTGTACTCGATGATATACGGGATAGACATCTTCTGATAAAGTTTCATGGGTAGCCGTTCTTCTTTAGAATAGATATCAAGTAATTTATTTCGTTTCTCCGTGAAGTTGTTGTATTGCAGTGTGTTCTCGCTCTTTCGAATAGAGTCTGAATGCAAGTGATTTTGTGCTTTGTTGGGTTGTTGCTAGTGTAGTTGAGGATTTGGCCAATGTGTGTTGGCTTCCTGTACACTTGAGATTTCAGTTTTTCAGGATTTGTTCTACTGACTAAAAAATCCAGAAATGGTAGTTGGTTGTTTGACTCCTTCTCCGTTGTTGATCAAACTGCGAGTGTTTTCTTTATCATCTCTTTTGATGATGACAAAAGTATCGTCTACATAGCAAATCCAAATTTTTGTTTTTATCACAGGTAGAATGATGGCTTCAAGTCTCTGCATTACTATTTCTGCAATTTGTCCACTTGTTCATTGGGCTATGAGGTACACCTACTGTTTAAGGACTACCTAGCTGCCTACAACTTGTTAGATAGGGCAGAGTACCATCCCGTGACCAACTGTTTGTAAGTTAACTCCGTAAACCAGTTAGCTATAACTGCCAATTAGATAGAAAACAAGGGTGAAGTCTCTTTTAAGATATAAAACTATGGTGTAGTTCACTTTCCACACCATATATACTACTTATAGACAGAAATATCTGAAAACTAAGTATACCAAAG